GGGGAGGGCTAGGCTACACACAGAAAACAAGTAGTGATTCTACAGAATGTTACTATGCTCATGGACAGTGACTTTAATGGGGTTTGTGCGGGGTCCTTGGTGAACAGGGGAGCCAAATAAACATAATGTTCTTAAGGTAATTGTAGATAGATACCAGAGGAAAAAAAAACATTTTAAAAGGCCGTGAATGTTCTTCCTCTCTGCCTGTCTCTTAATGAAAGTTTATCCCACTTTCCTTTATAACCTCTAGCCACACCTGGCTCTTCTCTGCTCAGAAAAAGATAAGCTCATCTTTGCCTTTGGGCCTTTGCTCCTGTGCCTGTATGGTCCTCACCCCCAGTCGCTGTCCGTGCTCCCAACTCTGGAACTGCGACAATGGCCTCAGTTTGTTATTGTCTCAGAAAGGCTCCCTGTGACTACCTAAATAGCTCCTCCGGTGATGAGTTACACTGCTACCTCATGCTGTTTACAGATAACTTTTGTGATAACGTCTAAATCTTCAACACAGCATATGGCTCCAAAAGTGGAGACTGTGTCAGCACTTAAGACAGCACCTGGCACTGCAGACCGAGCCCATTCCAAATCTCACCTGCAAACCCAGGAGTGTTCTGAGGTCTGCTGGCCACATGGAAAGGAGATGGTGTGCTATCTCCAGCTGCACCCAGGGAGTTTGTATGCAAGGCACCCCAGAAAGGGTTCTTGAGACCAGTTCTTCCACTCCATCCTGATGTAGTGCCAAATGCCCCAGTGGTGGAGCTGCTGTGGGGGGCAGCCACGCTTGTCCCACAGCACCAAGTGCCAGTGGGGCCTGCTGACACCCTGGATTTCAAGGGCGCTGAGTTGGTGCTGCCAAACCCTGATGTACTACTGGTCCCACAGCTGGTGGTCTGGGTCACTGCTCCAAAGCCGGACTTGATGGCTGCAAAAAAGGGGGAAACATGGATCACTGTCTAACCCCATACACAAAAGTAAATTCAAAATTGGTCGAACCCCTGAATGGAAGCCACGAAACCATAAAACTCTTAGAGAAGGACAGGCGAAAGTGTCTTGGCCATAAACATGAGCGACATCTTCGTGAACATATCTCTCCAGGGAAGAAAAGCAAAAATGAACAAATGGGACTATATCAAGCTTAAAAGCTACTCTACAGTAAAGGGCACCATCAACAGAACAAAAGGGCATCCTCCAGTATGGGAGAATATATTCCTAAATGACAGATCTGTTAACGGGTTGACATCCAAAATATATAAAGAGCTAAAACACCACAACAAACAAAAAGCAAATATTTCAATAAAAATGTGGGCAGGGGAGCTGAACAGGCAGTTGGCCAAAGAAGAAATTCAGGTGCCCAACAGACACATGAAAAGATGCACCACATCGCCTGTCATCAGAGAAATGCTAATTAAAACCACAATGAGATATCACCACACACCAGTAAGGATCGCCACCATCCAAACGACAAACCACAACAGATGTTGGCAAGGTTGTGGAGAGAGGGGAACCCTCCTACACTGTTGGTGGGAACGTAAATTCGTTCAACCATTGTGGAAAGCAATACGGAGGTTCCTCAAAAAGCTCAAAGTAGGAATACCATTTGACCCAGCAACACCACTCCTGGGAATTGACCCGAAGAATAGAGCAGCCCGTTTTGTAAAAGACAGATGTACCCCTATGTTTATCGCAGCACTATTGACAACAGCCAAGAAATGGAAACAACCTACGTGTCCATCAGTAGATGAATGTATGCACAATGGAATATAATTCAGCCATAAGAAGAACACAAATCTTACCATTTGCAACAACATGCTTGGAGCTAGAGGGTATTACGCTCAGTGAAATAAGCGAGGCGGAGAAAGACAAGTACCAAATGGTTTCACTCATCTCTGGAGTATAAGAGCAAAGGAAAAACTGAAGGAACAAAACAGCAGCAGAATCACAGAACCCAAGAATGGAATAACAGTTACCAAAGAGAAAGGGACGTAGGAAGATCGGTGGGAAGGGAGGGATAAGGGCAGGGAAAGAGAAAAAGAGAAAGGGGGCATCATGTTTAGCATGTATAATGTGGTGGGGCACGGGGAGGGCTAGGCTACACAGAGAAGACGAGTAGTGATTCTACAGTATGTTACTAAGCTGATGGACAGTGACTCTAATGGGGTTTGTGCGGGGTACTTGGTGAAGAGGGGAGCCAAATAAACATAACGTTCCTAAGGTAATTGTAGATAGATACCAAAAAAAAAAAA